TCTTCCAGTCAGTCTGAATCAAGGGAGAGACACGTAGAAATAACTACCAGTATTGATAATCGATATATATTGACTGTATATGGGGACTACCTGACATGTGTCCTGCAGTACCTTCAGTTACATGTAGTGACTTCAGTGATCCAGGGTTATTTATTTTGATTTTAGTGTTTTATTGCATTCGTGACTCCCCTAGTCTTGTAGAGAGTTTCTTTGTCACTCTGAATCTTTATGCTTTAATCTACATATGAAGCAGATGAGGCGGTTCCGTTGGTCTCTTTTAGATCAGGTGTAAGTCAGTGCAAAGGAATTGGCTATTTGACAAGTATTGAATTATATCAGACCATCGGTGTATCTGAATTTTAAATGAAACTTCTTGTTTTTGATGTTGCAAATACGAGAATAAAGGTATTCCAACTCGTATGCTGAAAGAAACAGATCACAAAGGAGGGAAGCACAATTAATGCCCATGTGGACGCAAACTTCTGGCCTAATTGTCCTCTCCCCCAATTTTAAATAGATGTTATCTGTGAACAAGTCCAACATTTCACATTTTCCCAGTAAACTTCAGATGACATTTGCTTTCATTATTGAATAAGTATCCTGAATCTAAAAAGATAGAGATGCAACCGTATCCTTGGTCACCACATTTAGTAATTGATCATTGATCATTGAGTTTTTTCGTTGAGTTTGTCGTGTACGATTGTGGTGTACAAAGTTGCAAAATAAAATGACATGATTGAACTTCTTTTCTGAGACTGCAAAAGGTCCTTTGAGATTTTGAGAATCCACATGGTATAAATATCACTTGTCTCAAATACGTTCTGGGAATATAAAGAAAATCCTTCTTGGATTGTAATAAAGATTATGTTTAATCTTTGTGACAGGGATTAGGTGGTATATTTGCTTGGCCGAGCAATATATCTCATTTTGTACGAATTTTGATTCAGCTTTGGAATCGAGTCCAAAAGAGCAATGGACATGTCTTCAGGCTTTAGAGGCAATCATAGAGTTAATAGTACCGATGTATGGTTTTGTCAGATTTCTTTCTCAGTTAACAAGCTGGCCCTAAATGCGGCATCACTTGTTCTTTGATGAAACAATTAATGTAGTGATGCTTACATATAATGATTATGTTATTTGAGGCCTTGTTTATTCTAATCTTGTTTCCTCTATTTCAGTTTATACATTCTAGAAATGACAACACCACACACTAACCCAAAACATCAACCCACTCTGAAAGACATTTAACAGGTTGAAATTCGCTTCTGGACCATGTTTTGAAATTGTGTGGTACATTTAGGGAAACAAAATTTTGTCTGAGAAGTTTAAAGAATCAATTACCTTGTGTGAAAGGTGCGGTCTTCAAAGCAAGGTCAAGAACTATACACTCTTGTCGATACAGGGGTCTCTGTTTCTAAACCCAACCATCCTCGATACCAGATTTCTTTCACCGACACAGACAATAGTCATATTCTTACCTTGTGTAGTGGTAACGGTTCTTAAAGGATGGGAAAAATAATCTTTCAAATCAATGGTATCATTTGTCCTTTGTCCTTTGTCCTTTCTTGTGACCATGGATACGACTGTGCAATGCATCGACGTTTTCAGTTCGTTGGTTAGAAACACTGCCAACGTCTTTAATTTTTCATTTGATCCATATGGCATAGATTTTAGAACACACACATTTATTGATTGTCTCTTGACGCCCTATGAGGTTGTCTGCATTTAAGACTATTAGACGGATGGTAGATGTTCTATAATATTCTAACTTTCATGCAAGTTTTCAGAACTGAAATGTTGGTGGACACAAATTGGAACATTTTGATGCCCAATCTAGGTGGACTGATAAACCATGTCTTGTGGGAATATAGACTTACGTCGGTGAGACGCACTAGACCTTTTCTTTCCTTATCGAAAAGAAACATCAAAAGTTACAGAAGAGTTGTTACACCACACAAAAGTGGTGTTTTATTAACAAGATGTGTTGCAGACAGCGTCCCATTTCATCTGTATGTAGACCAACGCAAGGCGCCAAGCCAAGTGCTATAGACATTGGGCATCAAAGTATCTATTGATTCGCCAATTCTGGAGACAAGGACAATGTTTTTTTGTTTGTGAGTATATATCTACGATGTGTTTAGCAGTCATTCGACAGTCTACAAACGTCTTTTGGTACATACTGACACTTTGAATACTCTGAAACTAAGGAGTTGAGTATATCCGGGAATCATCTATATGATACTGTACAGTTACGCAATGGAGTTCATAAACTGGTTTGATGAGTTTTGTTCTTGAACCGCAGTCACCGTCAAACATGCTTCTGTCACTGCCGTTTCTGCTCTGTGGTGAAACTGGTGTTGTGTCTGAAATAGGAATCATCTTTAGATTTGTTTTTTGTTGCTTTTTCATGGTCACGACGCGTAGACAGACAGCATACCGATATCCCTAGCTATTTTACCTGGTCGAGAGATATGAAAGAGTCTTGATACTTTCATCTCCGTAGTTGATACTTTCATAAACGTAGATGATACTTTCATCTACGTAGATGATACTTACACTTACGTAGATGATACTATAATCTACGTATATGATACTTTTATCTACGTAGATGATACTTACAGTTAAGTAGATGATACTATTATCTACGTACATGATGCTTTCATCTACGTAGATGATACTTTCATTTATGAAGATGATACTATAATCTGCGTATATGATACTTTCATCTACGTAGATGATACTTACGCTTGCGTAGATGATACTATAATATACGTATGTGATGTTTTCATCTACGTAAATGATACTTATACTAACGTAGATGATACTATAATCTACGTATATGATACTTTCATCTACGTAGATGATACTTACACTTACGTAGATGATACTTTAATAAACGTAGATGATACTTTCATCTACGTAGATGATACTTACACTTACGTAGATGATACTATAATCTACGTATATGATACGTTCATCTACGTAGATGATATTTTCATTTATGTAGATGATACTTTTATCTACGTATATAATGCTTTTATCTACGTAGATGATACTTACACTTACGTAGATGATACTATAATCTACGTATATGATGCTTTCATCTACGTATATGATGCCTTCATCTACGTAGATGATATTTACACTTACGTCGATGATAATATTATCTACGTATATGATACTTTCATCTACGTAGATGATACTTTCATTTGTGTAGATGATACTATAAACTACGTATATGATACTTTCATCTAAGTAGATGATACTTACACTTACGTAGTTGATACTATAATCTACGTATATGATACTGTCATCTACGTAGATGATACTTACACTTACGAGATGATACTATAATCTACGTATATGATGCTTTCATCCACGTAGATGATACTTACACTTACGTAGATGATACTATAATCTACGTAGATGAAAGCATCATATACGTAGATTATTCTTTAATCTATGTACATGATGTTTTCATCTACGTAGATGATACTTACACTTACGTAGATGATACTTTAATCTACGTATATGGTACTTCCATCTACGTAGATGATACTGCTCACATCTACGTAGAAGATACTTTCATCTAGGTATCAATACTTTCTCAAGTAATCGAACCTATACGTACGATTATAAGTATCAGTATCATCTACGTAGATGTACGTAGATGGTGGCATTTTTTTCAGACTGTCACTAAAACGCTTCCATAGAGGGAAAATACCTTTACATAGCAAAATATGAAATTAGCGAGGGATAATCTTCATCCCCAGATCCACCTATATGTCCTATATATGTTTATATATTCTTGTCGTGATATGTCCCGCATATGCTAATATTCGTTCAAAATATTTAATTTGTCAATGTCCATACTTCTGCTAATTCAAGGGATAGTTTTATGACACTAATACATTCCTCTGATGTAAGCATTCTGAATCATTTAGCAAATTACATTAAATATGCCATCAATTTGCTGTTGTCATCATATTAAAAATACATTCATCGCATTAATTGTACTTGGGCATGGGGACATAATTCTGAATTGATTGATTGATTGGTTGGTTGGTGAGTAGGTGGGTGGGTTGGTTGATTGATTAACATTAAGAACTCTCCACATGGATGCACTCTTTACGCAATTTGGCCAATACCCTTCGTATCTATTTTATGCGCTACAACAGGTTGTTTAGCTTACATTCTGAACATTTTGTCCTGACATATACGTGTGTGACATGTAATGCATATCTGTAATTTTTGTATTAATATTCGGATTTTTATATCTGATATCTGGCGTGGAAGTTTTACGTTTATATAATACCCGTGAAAATCCGGGTTAGAATAGTTCTTCGGCAACCCATGCTTCCTGTAAAAGGGAACTATGTTTGTCGTAAGAGGCGACTAACGGGATCGGGTGTTCAGGCTCGCTGATTTGGTTGATGCATGTCGCCGTATACCAATTATGTGGTTTGATGCTCATGGTATCAATCACTGGATTGTCTGTTCCAGACTCTATTATTTACAGACCGCCATCATATAGCTGGAATATTGCTGAGTGTGGCGTTAAACAACAAACAAACATAACATTTATATAAACAACAACTAAGTTTCATAAATAATGTCATGATTGTAATAGTGGTGCTATACTTCACCTCTAAGTTTCAACTTCCTTGGTCTTGTGGAACCTTTAGAAGAGGATTCTTACACATTTTGATATATTCTGATGTCGTTAAATAATGGTAAAAAAGTCGATTCGCTTCCACTTATTTAACAACCTGATTGATTGATTGATTGATTGGTTGGTTGGTTGGTTGGCTGGTTGGCTGGCTGGCTGGCTGGCTGGCTGACTGACTGACTGACTGACTGACTGAGTCAGGCAAGTAACGGACTATTTAATCCATTACGCCACCTCATAGGACCAACATAGGTAGTTGGGCATATATACTGAACAAGTGAGCTGCTCTAATACGTCATGTATTTAAACCGCTCGTCATGCCCAAACTGGACCCTAGTTTACTGTTATAAACAATCTGCACTTCCGTTACTCTCTAATGTCAATTAAACTTTTCGTCAACGATAGCCTCAACCTGTCACATCTGAGTCGGTAGACGAGAAGCTGGAAAGTCGATGGGCAACAGTTGGCTGTTATTCGACCAGTTATAGTACGTTGTTGTGGAGGACTATGCCGAATATTCAATAATGATAATACTGACAGCCTTCGAAGAGAGTATAAGGCTTATAACGTATACATGGTGCACCGCGCCGGGCAACCACTCGATTAAGACGGTAAGAATATTTATACATTGACAATAGTTTGTTTCGTTCTACAACGTCAAAAGCGTTCCCATTTTGCAAGTCTTTTTGATTTTCACCTCATTTTTATACTTTAATATTATCGTCCGAATACAGTATTCTTCTAGACTGTCAGGGAATTCAGTGCCACTTTCTTGTTTTGGAATTGCACTACAGTCAAATACCGTTGTGTCGAACTTGGATGTATCGAACTTCGGTTGTCTCTAAGTTACAGCATGGTCCCTGAGTGTTACTCAATAACTCGAAGTATTTACGTTTGTCTCTTCAACTGCGACACAACGGTGTTAGACTGTATTTCAAATTATCAGCTACAGTAGGAACACTTAGTAATATAACGAACTGAATCCGTGACGTGAACAGAATATCTGCCAGAACAGGTCGGTGGTTCGATCCCCTCGTCGCTTCATACCAAAAGACGTTAAATGATGGTAATTGGTGTCACTCCGCCTGACGCTCGGCATTAACGGGATAAAGTACGGGCAGACTCGAAGTCAGTTTGATGTGTATAAAATATGGTATCACAATGGCTAGCAATACAATACTGGTATAAGTACGGACTAGGGCAAGCAGCCAGACACACACAAGGTGCATGCTGTGTCAGAACCTCATTGGTTAGAACTTAGTTGCAATTGTGTGTAGCTAGAGGAAACTCATTTGGATCGGGAGGTCAGAATGGCGACAGACTGATCGTGTGTTGTCGTGCCCCGCTGCCGTAGGACATTGTTCATATTATCATCTACAGGTTTGTCTGAGGGACCGTAGCTGGAATATTGCTGGCTGTTGATTAAATATATCTTACATTCAACAATGTACACATTCAGCTGTTAGGGAGGTATTGTATTTCATAGTTCTTCTCTGTAAACGTGTTAATCAATATGAGTAAACATCTGCGCAAACATGTCTCATACCATATTGCTGGTAGTGATCGATAAGCGCTATGTAAAGTCATTTTTTAGACTGAACCTTGTAGGACATGCATGTGAATATCAATAGTAGGTGTGTGAGTTTAGTTTCATGCAGTTTAAACATAATTTTAATTTATCAGGCGTTTAAGATTAATGCTCGAAGCGGAGCTGCTTGACACGTTGAGTTACTGAAAATATAGACCGTCAACGCCAGAGACGATTATCCGCCGAACAAACTTCATTGGGTATAAAAGGCAAAATTACGGTGAAAATACAGAACAGAACAGAACAGAAGTTTATTCAATATTTTAGGCCATATGACCTATAGTACAGTAGTGTTTGTTTTTTGTATCAACATTGTACAGTCACGTGTAGGTAATAATAAGTTTACATAAAATATTAACGTCTAATTTCAAAAATCTTCTTCAGGAATATTGACAGAGATGATATTGTATTTGCATTGCAGGAGTTCAACAAATTTCTCATCAGTTGTTCATCTTTGTACATAGTTGAAATCATAGGGAGGTATCTATTTCTAAGAAACTGATAATATTTACAAATGAGAAGTACATGAAACTCATCCTCAACATAGCCTTCATTACAATAACGGCATAAACTACTTTCTTTATCTTGTACATTTTTCTTTCTGAGATTGTTAACATTAAAATTATGTAATGATATACGTAATTTACACAAAGATCTTCTCAAAGTTCTATCCTGAAGTACAGATACATATTTCTCAGGAACAAGTAAAGATTTTATATTCGTATAATGGCATAAAAACCTTGAGGATGATATTTGACAGTGCCAATCTTGTGAAAATATATCAACTAATCTTTCCTTCAGCATGAAGATAAATAGTTTATCATTTCCAACATCTTGAGATATCCATGCAAGAGAAAAACCAGACATACAAAGAATATTTCTGATATCAGACACCCATAAACAATATTTACCCTTTTCATCCAAGGCTTTTAACATATTATAACAATGAAGAGGAAATCTATTTGAATTCATACGAAGTAGCTTTATCCAATATTTAACTGCCCGTAGCTGGGATGAAACAAAAAGACTGGTACGACCAGTTTCTCCAAGAATGGCTTTGTTAGAGGCATATTTACCGACACCTAACACGTTTAAAGTACATGGCATGAATTTTTTCTATGGAATCATTATAATGACATCCCCATATTTCTGAACCATACAGCAGAATTGGTGCTATTTTTCTGTCAAAAATGTCCGAAACAACTCGGAAAGATATAAATTTGTTTTCTTTGAAAACTCGATAGACAGGAATCAAGGCTTTAGATGCTTGCAGAGCCAACTGCTTACAAGCTGTTGACCATGCTAATCGAGAAGATACAGTCAATCCTAAATATTTATAATATGAAACAATATTGACTGTCTTATTACAATACGTCCATTTTTCAAATTTATTTAGAATACCACCTTTTCTGAAAACATTAACATTTGTCTTTTTCAAATTTACACCAAGGCCCCATTTCTCACAATATAGCTGGAGAACATTTAACTGTTTCTGGAGGCCACTAATTGAAAATGATAATAAAGCAATATCATCAGCAAATAGTAACAGCATTATATCAATTATATCTTGTGACACAAAAACTCCGTAATCACATTCATGATACATTTCAGTTACAAGTTCATTTATGAAAAATATAAATAGGACAGGGCTGAGTACACAGCCCTGTCTTACACCAGCTGAAGTTCTGAAACATTCAGTGATTCCTTTATCTGTCTTGATACATGCCTTAACTGATGAGTACATGCTCTGTAGAACGTTTGACAATTTGCCTGTTAATCCTTTAGTAATTAATAAAAACATCATTTTCTTTCTATCCACATAGTCGAAAGCCTTTTTGAAATCGATAAAGGCACAATAAAAACGGCCCTTGGATTTGATAAGATATTTTGTACACAAAGATTGAAGAATAAATATATTGTCTGATGGAGAATAGTTGGGTCTAAATCCAGCTTGGGATTCTGATAACAGGTCATTCACATCTAACCATGTTCTAATACGTTTTTCAATTACAGCAGAAAACAATTTGCCAGTCACATTTAAGAGAGAAATACCTCGGATCAGATATGTTTCCAGATTTATGTAGAGAAATAATCATTCCTATATTCCAGGAATCTGGAAAAACACCAGTATCTAGAATTTTATTAAAAAGCTGCCTAAGATACGGGTTTATGAAATTTGTTATACTTTTCATATATTCAGGGGGTATACCATCCTCACCGGCTGCTTTACCCACTTTTAACCCATTTAAAGCTTGTTTAATTTCATTTTCAGTAATTTCACCTGATAAGAGCTGGTCAGTAAAAGGCATATAATTACAATGTTGACATGAATGGGAATCTAAAAAATCCTGAACTTATTTATCAAATTCATTTACATCTCTGTTAAAATCTGGATTTAATAAATTCTTAAAATATCTAAACCAAGTGTCAGGTGAAAATAAATATGAATGGAACACAGAAAATCAGTAATGACAACAGGTGTTTGCGAAAAGGTAAGCATGTTCTGCCCTATCGGTAGCATCGCCACACCCAATTTGCATAAAACTCACGAGGACTGGTATAGAGCTCAAGAACATAGAATGGTAATCAGGGCGGATAATGGTATATCTCTTACTGTTTGGTGTTCCTGATGTGAAAAACTAACCCGACAAACTTGGTATCACGATCCGACAAATATGCAAATGAGGTCACCTGGCGGGAACTAGTTTCCAGTTCCATACATCACGCAATGCATTATGTTTCTATAATATTTATTCCAAATTTAAAAATTCCAAAAATTCAATATAAGCAACTCCTAAAAGCCCCCTCTTGGGTTGCACACACCACTTTCACCCTTTTCGCAATACACTAAATGGCCCGGCCAGGCCCGTGTGCGAAATACGCTACAGTCGGAAAGCGCACGTTAAATCTCCTATATCAGTCAGTCAGTCAGTTTCTATAATCTATTAACTAACATACACAGCATGCGTAGATATGGTTCCTTCTGTGCGTCGGCATGTTTCTGTAGAAATGCACGGCTGCACGATACTGGCACTTTATGTGGTTCACTCAAAGACGGCTTCTTAATAACCGGATTTATTGACGATTTATACCGATGTGAATACCTACTGTACATGTATTGATTTTTCGCACACATGTAATTCAAAAGGTTATAAATTTATTGATTCTCCAGCTATGGGTCGCACAAATCGTTTCCAGATGTTGTAACATTTAAAATATATCATCAACTATTTTGAAAATATCGTGCGTGAGACGACGACGATTACCGAACGTCTTTCCTGACCTCCATAAAAAGATGTTTGTCCATTTTTGATATGCCGATTTTGAGATATACATGTATATGTATTACCTATTGTCATCGTAACAAGAGAATTGCTGTAAAAAGGATACCGAAATAAACTTAATCTTTCTCTCAAGACATTACGTTAACAATATATCACATCATAATAATAAAACCATTCCCATAATGATAAGAAATATCTGCTAAAAGTAGAGCCTATTGCACGATTCCAACTTTATCATAAGCATGTTTTTACGAATCAAAGGCTCGCATAATGCAGTCTTTTCCTTATACATCATCTTCAAATACGGAAACGCGGCTAATAATCTCTATTTGTGACACATGATCAGAGAAAACCAGAAAGATTACCCAATTTGCAGTACTAGTGCTTTCGGCGCCTGGGGAAGTCTTGATAACGTTTATGATAATATTGTGAAATAGATTTGTCAATGTTGAAAGAGGGACTTTACCTCACTCTTAATTTGATAGATTTGAAAATCTTGTCTGTAAGTCGGAAGTAATGAAACCGACAGCGAAAACTATGTAATGTAGATTAATAAAAACAAAATATATTGCTTCTTGTTTCACAATACAGCTGTCAGGGACGATAGTGAGTAAAATGTTTGTCAAAGGACTGTGTTCGTTTTTAAAGTAAATAAATAGGTATTCTCTTGTTTGTATTCTGTCTTCTCTTGTCACACTGAAGACCTGGGTTCAATTCCCCACATGGGTACAATGTGGGAAGCCCTTTTCTGGTGTCTCCACTGTGATATTTATTTTTGGGAATAAATTAATGATTACCCGAGCATAAAACCCTGGAATGCAATATTTATACCCGATATTCTAAGCAACATATCAAAGCCATTCTTAAACATGATCGCAGTTACATGTTTATGTTAAATCAACATGTTTGCTTGACGATGATTAAAGCTATATTTTGGCCTGTATAATTACAAAATGTTTGTGTTGACCCATTTGTATGTGCAGATGTTGAATCAATAATCGATAACCACAGAAGAAACGAATTGCGCCTCGGAGCTAGGCACATAAAAGCAATATCTAAAAGTAGTATCGATGACAACACACATTGTGTGTCAAATTACCGAGCATCTGTTACAAACACTGAAATAATCAATAAAACATATTTATCAAAAGGGAATATATTATTTAAAATTTTTATTTCCCGCAGAGTTGATAACCACAAAAAACATTTTCTTTGCATCTCTCAGTAAATCTGCTCGAGGTCATTGGAGTGCGATCTAGATTATAACTTCAAAAAATAAATGAATCTTTGAAATAACATTGGCATATATCGAATGTGTTCTTTCGAACCCAACACACTAGTAACTGCCTAAAACATTTTTTGCCTTTGAAACTTCGCAATTCACATACAAACAAAAGCATATAAAAACAATAAAACCCCGCGCCTGTCCAACTTTCGTCAATCAAAAAACCAACCACAACCGTTGTTCCAAGATAAGGCACATAATTTCACATGTTACACATTTTGTGACTTTGATAATACACAAAAGGTGAAAAAAAAATCCAATCATCCTTAATCACCTATGCAGTCTTAACACAAGCATCGCCTCTTTCAGACCAGATGCTGGGGTGTACGTGTAGGAGACGTTCCATGAAAACATGGATCTTAGGTTTTCTTTTCCTCGGCATGTTGGGACTACTATTCAACTATATAAACGTAGAACGACTTCACGAAAACATAGCATTTGGCAAGGTAAGATTTGTTTGGTTGTTTAACGCCGCACTCGGCACTCTTCCAGGTATATGAAGGCGGTCTGTAAATAATCGAGTCTGGACCATACAATCCAGTGACTGATATCATGAGCATCGATCCAAGCAATTGGTGAGTGAGTGAGTTTGTGTTTAACGCCGCTTTTAACAGTATTCCAGTCATATCACGGCGTGTCAGCTTAATGTGGGAGGAAAGTCTTAGACGTTTACCACTTCGGTGAAACCCACGAGCACGGGTATGGTGCTGACAAACCTAAAACATAATCGGGGCGAACAGGGATTCGAACCCACAATCATAGGTCCCTGGCGTGCCCAAGGGACGCAACTCTGCACTGCGAATTGCGACGCCTTAGACGACTGGGCCACCCATGCCCCCCAGCAATTGGTATTCGATGACATGCACCAAGCCAAGTCAGCGAGCCTGATCCCGTTAGGCGCCACCTACGACAAGCACGGGCTGATGAAGACCTATTCTTACCCGGATTTTCACGGGTGGCAAGGTTAGACTAATATCGACATGACGTGAGAAAATGCACCAGAACTACAGTTACAAATGCCCCGCATCGCCTATGTTACATGTATGTCATAGAAGTTACTACAGTCGTAAGTCTATTGTATAGTATATGATTTATGACAGTCGGAAGTTTATATTTTGTTTAGGAGTTGCGATAGTGGGAAGTCAATGTACGTTGTAGGGGTAACGCCATTGTGCGTCTATGTTATATTATGACAGTGTATGTTATATTATAAGGTTTATGACAGTCGGAAGTCTGTGGTCTATTATATGAGTTGCTATAGTCGTAAGTCGGTGTCATATTGTAGGGGTTACGACAGTCAGAACTCTTTGTTATGTTATTGGAGTTATAACAGTCGATATCTATCATGTTATATTATAGGAGGTATGATAGTCGGAAGTCTATGTTATATTTTGTGAGGGATGACTTTCGGGAGTCTATGTTATATTATAGGATTTTTGTACTGGTAATCCTATGGTCGCTTAGTGAAACGGTACGCAGAAGGTAAGGTAATTTGTGAAGCATGGATCAAATAACAAATATGCAACTTAATTTACTTGAAGGGGAAGTGTATAAATTGGTACATCAGTCATCGGCGTAGGGTCATGGGGAGACAATCACACCATTTATTTCATTGTAGTTTATTTAACATTTGTGGAACAGGACTGCCTGCTTAGGGTTAAGTACGTGTTGATAATTGATGCATAATGTAGACAAGGGAGGATCAATTTGAAGGCAGGGTTGTGTCAACAGGCGTATCCATAAATAGTGTTATCAAATGAACAGTGAAAGAACATACTTTAAAAAAACCCACACTGATTATAATTTATTTCTTGAATTAATTCTAAATCAGCCACATGTGACATTTAATTATTAGTCCCTCTAAAGTCAAGGAGACGTTAATATATAATACACTACTGCCTGAATTTACAATAAAATCAAGTCATAAGGTAGTCTCTTCTTGAATTCTTCAAGCACAATACCTTTCTGAAAAATAACCCAACATATTCAACACATTTGAGAACATATATCATTTACTGTAACATTGTAGGTCATGCAAGCTATACTGGGACATGTACATAAAATGATGACAAATTTTCAGTGTTATGGCACATCAATGCTGACACTGCCTTTGAAAGTACTTCTTAGCGCCCTGTGGAGATCCGGTTTAGAATTGGTATCCAGGAACCAATGCTTGTCTTAAGAGACTGCTGGCGAGATCGACTGGTAGGCTCGCAGACTTGGTTGATGCAAGGCATCGTATCCGAAATGTCTAGGTCGATGCTCATGATATAAATCACTAAATTGTCTAGTCCAGATTCCATCATTCACAGACCGCCGCCGTATACATGTGGCAGGGATACTGCAGAGTGCAGCGTCAAACAAACAAACTTCTTTTCAGCAGCGATAGAAAATGCAACAGAATTCTATCAGAGATGTTTCTTTCGGATTTATGTCAAACCATATTTAGCATTTATTATCAATATAGGGATATCGCTTATTCCTTTCATTTATCACTATTTATTGAATGCTATCAGTAATGTTTCAATGATATTATCCATTCTTTAGTGATATGAAAGGAAAATGTCATTAAATGAATTCCTGATATCATAAAGAAACCCGAAGGAATTACTGATGTCAAACTTTCAAATTCTGACATCATCAAAAATCTAAGAGGCAACTAACGAGATCGGGTGGTCAGGCTCGCTGACTTGATTGATGCATATCTTCGTTTCCCAATTGCATGCATCGATGCTCATTAAACACTATTAAACATGGGTGTTTTAGTTTCTTTTTTTCTCAGCAGTTTATTTGAATACTCCAATACCTGAAAAGTATGCATTTTATAATAATATTGCTGTTGATACAATAACACTTCATCAAACAATAATGGTTCAACTTAACAGCTGGCCTCTGCGCCATTTTTCTTGGGCGACAAACCCGGACAGCATCTTGCTGCGTCAATGGAATCGGTTTATAAGGAAGGAGTGACGGGCAACTTTGAACCTCCGGCGGAGGCGGTTGGCACAGGACCTGGTAGGTTTGAAACCAGCAGTATCTATAGAAACTAGTTATGAATGAGTGACAGCTGTTTGAGTGTCTCCAAAAATTACATATATCGGTAGCAAAAATAAAACGATTGTAAAATGAATTCATGCAATATGATTGAATAACGTGGTTAAATGTTATTCCCGGACTTTAAATGGGAAATTCTGGACTTATCACTGCGTATGAATACTTTTCTTGATAAAAAATACCATCTGTTGCCCGGGAAACAAATACTCAGTAGAACGCACAAATAATTGTATGATTAAGAGGACAAAGCTGTGCTGTGTATATCCCACTGACTGAGGATTCAGCAAGGACCATCATTCCTTCACAGTCAAGTATATTTATTTTTCTCAGTGACATCAGTGGGAAGGGATGTCAGAAATGTTTTAGCCCGGCTGCCACGTGTAGGTTGTAGGTTGTGTGACGTATTTAATATTGACCTGCGTTTGTTGTGTAATCATTCACAAGTTGGCGTTATTCAGTCCAATGATGGGGGCGGTCGGGTAGCCTAGTGGTTAAAGCGTTGGCTCGTCACGCCGAAGACCCGGGTTCGATTCCCGACAACAAGGGTACAATGTGTGAAGCCCATTTCTGGTGTCCCCTGCCGTGATGTTGTTGGAATATTGCTAAAAGCGGCGTAAAACCATACTCAGTCACTCACTCACTCAGTCCAATGATAACTGATTTCTCTAAGTCCCACTGCTTCTCAGCATTGAAAAGGATAAAAGTGAGAGAGAGAGAGAGAGAGAGAGAGAGAGAGAGAGAGAGAGAGCGAGATAAATGCGCTGCATTTAATACATCTGTGCAGATAATGTTACAAAATGGGTGCACACAATTATTTTACGAAGTGACGTCACGATGCCATAAAATTCTTTCGCCAACAAATTAAATGGTGAACAAACAGTGTTTACCTACCCCCAGTGTATACCCCCCCCCCCCCCCCCCCTCACAAGAGTAAACAAGAATCAATGGAGTGGAAACACTTCGGGTCACCCAAACCGAGGCGTGACTTTCATACGAGCTTCCATACCATCCACCATATTTACTCGAAAACAGGAGACAGAAGGAGACAGTACTTTGTGTGTTGAACTGATTAAAGGTCATGACAATTTTTTCAGTTGTATGCAAGGCTTAAAACGTTTTGAAACCACTCCGTATATATAGCACAAAACGTTATCTTTCAGTTGTTCACGCAATGATACACTCTCATTAACAGAGCATGGTATACAATTACCAATGGTTACGCGTGTGGTTCATCATTCGTTTGGAGCAATAACATACATACTTATTTAAACACAAAATATATGATAAATATACCACTCTGAAGTCGATGATCCACGTCTTAGCAGCGAACGTGTCATTTTACCCTTTTTACTGTTGAGACGTGTGCTCTTCTGAATACCAAACGGTGATCTGTTTTTATATACACAAGGTGAGGGCGGACGACCTGTGAAGGTTGAGAGATCGGACTACTCGTCAATGCGTGATTATGGCTGTGATATGTCAGTGAGTGACAGGATATCCCTGAATCGCACGATTCTTGACACCAGACCCAAGCAGTAAGTCTAGGTTACACCTTAGTCAAATGTTTCCAGATCTTTCATTACGCTTTATAAATATTGCATGGACATTGCAAAGCATGACGTCAAGCAAACTTTAATATTCAAGTGCAAAGATTTTGCTTTTGTAAAGTTCTCGTAGTAGATTTAACATTCTTTCTTCATTTTAAACATGTGTGAAAATGTAACAGGATGATGATGCGGTGTCACAGTAATGCCATCCTTTGCTATTCCAGATGCGTGTTCTGGCACTACCCGACCAATCTGCCCAGTGCCTCTGTGGTGATCGTTTTCTACAACGAAGGCAACACGACCCTCCTGAGGACTGTCCACAGCGTCATTAACAGATCCCCGTCCTCGCTCCTGAAGGAGGTGGTCCTTGTGGACGATGCAAGCACAATGGGTAGAGAATAGTCCTTGAGATTGTATCGGTGATTCCTACATGTGTATGCTATGTTTATTGCATACATTACCTACACATGGCCTGCTTCGGCTGAAGGATGGTGAACACGCGGACACAATCTGATCAATAAGTGTGATGTATTCCAGCTATATCACAATAGCCGGATAATTATAGAATCCGAACCTGGTCTGAGACCCCTTTGTTCTGAACAGGAGTGAGTTCCATGGGTTCTGTAAAATACAGTCAAAACCGCTGTGTCGAACATATGGTTTTCTCGAAGTAAAGGTTTGGTTCCTGCGCATTCGTTCATTTCGGTTGTGTCGAAAGTATTTACGTAGGTCCCTTCAACTTCGACACAACGGTGTTTGGCTGTATTGAGACACCTGTTTCTGAACTACTTCGAGTTAAGCTGTCGAATCTCAGGCTGCACATATAATTTCTAGTGAAAATGTTTCAGGTCATCTTCAAAAACCACTAGAATCCTACATCCAGCGTTTCAACGGGTTGGTCAAATTGTACCGAAACGAAGAAAGGCTGGGGCTCATAGGTGCCCGGATGAGGGGAGCAAGGGAGGCAACTGGAGATGTCTTTATAGTGCTTGATTCTCACTGTGAATGTAACGTGAACTGGTTACCGCCCTTGCTTCACAGGATTGCACTTAACAGGTACTTCATTTTTGTTACCTTCCTTGCCATATGTTCATTTACAATCTTGAAGTGGTTTGAGAATCGAAGCGAAACCTCCTCAGGTTGATTTTATATAGAACAAATTGTCACGTACGTGGAAGCGGATGAATTAATATCTTCAGATGTGATTACATGACGTGACCTGTTAATGTAGTTGAACCACATCGAGAGTTAGACAAAGTGTCCAAAGGCTGGATTTATAAACAAATATAAATTGTTGAAAAAAATAATTATGCTTCCTATTGTCGGATAGAAACAATTGTCTGTCACACAAATTTCATTGTTGAAAGTTGGTTTTCTTTAAAAAATATTAAGGCTCATAGTTTTGATTTAATAAATCTTGTACATTTGAAAAATATCTTATCTTTAGACAAACTCCCTGCCCCCCCCCCCCCCCCCCCCCCCCCCCCCCCCAAACCACACGCCCCCACCTCTACACACATCCCCACCCCAATCCCTAGGTAGGTCCGTCCCTAAATCTTTGGAACCATCAAATAATCTATCGTGATATCACTAGTTCGAGACAAACAGAGTATCTACTTTAGACCATGGCGCTTCGGACTATAACACCGAAAGTTCCCCAAAGTCCGGAAATCTCATCTTTCCGATGTTTTCATAATCGGGAAAAGACTTTTACTAATCATACTATCTGTCGTATCAACTTGTATGGTTATCTATTTCCCCAGATCGACGTTGGTACAACCGACCGTTGACGTCATCAGCTACAAAGACTTCTCCTACAACAATATATTCACCAAGATGGTGAAGGGCGTGTTCGACTGGGGCCTTCTGTATAAAGAGATGTATGCGTCTGATAAGGAGCAAGCGGCCACATGGAAACACAACTCAGAACCTTATGGGTAAATACAACGACCTCTTTTGTCCGGACTCTGTTAAATAGAAACGCACGGTTTCCGTAAATGGAATTGAGACCTGTCATAATTACCCATTCTAGAATACAGATCAATGATTTGTTTTCTTATGATTGTGGAAACTGCTTTGTGTTTGTGAATTTTATCGTTATAAAGAAAAAACGGGGAACGGGGTGCAAGTCACCTTCAGCATCGCAATTCGTTTTGAGTTACACCCCTTAGTTGTGACAGGATCCGCCGATTGAGGGTTCGAACCCCAGATTCTCCATGATTCTGATCCTTGGTTTTAAGCATCTTATATGTGTGAGTGAGTGAGTGAGTTAAAGTTTAACGTCACATCGGGAATATTTCAGCTATATCGTGACGAGACAAAATTTGACATAAATAATATATATTGAAACTGTATAAAATTCTGTCGACGTCTTATGTGTAGCCCGTGTGTTAACGTCTAGTGGTTAACACCTGCATCACTTCAGGTTTTCATCCCACGTTAAGCTGACACGCGGCAATATAATACTGAGACGTTAATCCTCACTCACACAAATTATGGTAACGTTGCAGTACACCAACACACGCCGGTGGGCTGTTTGCTGTCGATCGCAAACACTTCTTTGATATCGGAGGTTACGATGACAACTTACTGGTGTGGGGAGGAGAAAACTTCCAGCTGTCTTTCAAGGTACCGTATGTTCTCTATTAAGTGAAAACTTCCAGCTGTCTTTCAAGGTACCGTATGTTCTCTATTAAAAGAAAACTTCCCGCTGTCTTTCAAGGTACCGTATGTTCTCTATTAAGTGAAAACTTCCAGCTGTCTTTCAAGGTACCGTATGTTCTCTTTTAAGAGAAAACTTCCAGCTATCTTTCAAGGTACCGTATGTTCTCTATTAAGTGAAAACTTCCAGCTGTCATTCAGGGTACCGTATGTTCTCTATTAAGAGAAAACTTCCAGCTATCTTTCAGGTACCGTATGTTCCCTGTTAAGAATCAGGTAGTTATTATGAGCCGGTGTCTTGCGTAATTGTTTCACAATAGCAGAAACGGTCCAGCTACATTTAATAATTCCCCATTACTTATGACTACTTTTTTTTCTAAACTAAAACGCCCCTTCTCGTCAGCCCCGGTACACCGATACGAAAGGAATAAGAACCGAGCCTGTCTGACAAGGGCCGGAACTAAAAGTATTCTGGATTAAAAGGGGTCCGAGATCTTAAGTGAAGAAACAAGCTACCTGGGAGATACAAGTGTTTGGATATAACATGTTCAACAGTTGTAAATACCCCGTTTTGTCAGGACACGATATATATTACTAGTTATACAGTACAATTTTAAGTGAGTGTGAGTGAGTGAGTATGGTTTTACGCCACTTTTAGCAAAATTCCAGCAATATCACGGCGGGGGACATCAGAAATGAGCTTCACACATTGTACCCATGTCTAGAATCAAACCCGGGTCCTCGGCGTGATGAGCGAACGCTTTAACCACAAGGCTACCCTACAAATGAGAGGGAATCTCATTTGAGCCCCCCCCCCCCCAAAAAAAAAAAAAAAAAAAAAGAAAAGAAAAGAAAAATAAGTCTCACTAAGATTTAAGCGATATCTTGGTCAACCTTGGTTTAGTTCCCATTACAAAAATGGTTAATGGTGGTGACAATCAATGCAACACTAAAAATCAGGGTGAATATTGAGTCGATCCCATGATCTGAGGATACCTCACACCAAAGGACGCAACTCTGTTAAGCGAATTACGGCGTCAAGTCGACGTCTGCCCCTACCTACTAAAAACAGAACAGCTTGTTAACATTCCAAATCTACTGCTGATTTTGTGCTTGTATCCAACAATTAATACAACTTCATATTATGTCCTCTTTTATCGGGGTAGCCTATTATTTTTCATCAACGAATTACCGAATAAACGAATCACAGATATCGATAAACAACCCTTTGTTTGTATGCTTTTAACGCCGCACCCAACAATATTCCGGGGGCACGGGTGGCCCAGTCGTCTAAAGCGCCGCGATTCGCTGTGCAGAGTTGCGTCCCATGGGCACGCCAGAAACCTATGATTGTGGGTACGAATCCCGGTTCGCCTCGATTATGTTTCTAGGTTTGTCAGCACCATACCCTTGCTCGTAGGTTTCACCGAAGTGGTAAACGTCTGAGACCTGCATCACTTGGGGCTTTCCTCCCACATTAAGCTGGCACGCCGCGATATAACTGTAATACTGTTAAAAAGCGGCGTTAAACCCAACTCACTCATTCAACAATATTCCAGCTATATGACAGCGCTGCGGTCTGTAAATAATCGAGTCTGGACCAATCAATCAATGACCCTTTGTATGTATATTTGTATGCACGTTATCAAAAACAACCGTGTGGAAGTTAGGGTTATCCATACAACTAGAGAACGGAGTAATTTGACTTCACTGAATGTCAACTGTTGTTTTCCAGCAATGGATGTGTGGGGGTAGCATGGAGATGGTGCCCTGTTCGAGGGTAGGACACGTCTACCATTCTACAATGCCGTATTCGCTCAATATTAATAAAAAGAAGCCCATCAAAATGTCTATTATAAAACACGTGAGTACAACAATTTGTGTTTTCACATCAAATTCCATTAATATGAAATATTTGTTTCCATCTACCACTATCATAATCATAATCATCATCATCACCATCACCATCATCATCATCATCATCATCATTATCATCATCATCATCATCATCATCATCATCATCATCATCAGCAGCATGGCGGTGGGGTAGCCTAGTGCTTAAAGCGTTCATCATCATCGTGAAATATTCTTGCTTGTTTGTTTAAGCATTAGGAAATGTGAATAAACTAACAAATGTTGTTAATACATATGAATTTAACATGAATTAATATGAATTTGTTCTCATGATAGAATTATCTACGTGTTGTGGAGGGGTGGATGGATGAGTACAAGGAATATTTCTACATTCGTGAACCAAACGTACGACAACACGCACACGAGGTGAATGTCACAGACCAGTTGGAACTCAGGAAGAGGCTGGGATGTAGGAGCTTCAAATGGTACTTGGACAATGTAGCCTATGGCATTCTGGAATATTTTCCACTACCCCCACCAAACAAAGCGTGGGGAAATGTAAGTATGCACGTTACAATATGCATAGAATCGTGTGGCGGTTGTTTAGCCGTGTGTTGAACGCGCTGGCTCGTCACACTGAAGACTCAGGTTCGAGGGGGCGGCACGGCAATTTGCTGTGCAGAGTTGCGTCCCTTGGACAGAAACCCTGTTCGATCTGTATACTTTTTAGGTTTGTCAGCACCATACCCGTGCTCGTGGATTTCACCAAAGTGGTAAACGTCTAAGACCTGCATCACTTCGGGCTTTCCCCCAACATTAAGCTGATCCACCGTGATGCAACTGGAATACTGTCCAAAGCGGTGTTAAACCCAACTCACTCACCTAGTCGTAGTGTTTGAGAGACACAAATCTGTTCGAACACAAATTACGATATTGAAACCATATTTCACCTAATTGTCGTTCAAGACAAATGACCCTTATGGATGCTAGAAACATATGACCGTGGGTTCGAATCACGGTTCGCCCCGATTATGTTTATGGGTTTGTCTCACCATACATGCGCTGTGGGGTTCACCTGAGTGATAAACGTCTAAGGCCTGCATCACTTTCCTCCCACATCAAGCTGACACAGCGTGATATAATTGGAACAATGTTCAAAGCTGCGTTTCACCCATTCACTCAGGTTCGATTCCCCGTATGGGTCAGACAATACTAACATTTACTTGAGATAGTTCTGAAATCTACGGAAGCCTTTTAGGGCCATGTGTTTTTAATTTTTTTTTCGATACTATCTAGAAATTTCAAGATATTTAGTTGAAATTTCAAGAAACTAAGTTGAAATTTCAAGATACTATCTTGGAATACAAGATACTATCTTGAAATTTCAACTAAGTATCTTGAAATTTCAACTTCTGTATCTTGAAATTTCAACTAAGTATCTTGAAATTTCAACTTAATATCTTGAAACTTCAACTTCTGTATCTTGAAATTTCAACTTAGTATCTTGAAATTTCAAGATAGTATCTTGAAATTTCAACTTAGTTTCTTGAAATTTCAACTTAGGATCTTGAAATTTCAAGATAGTATCGAATTTAAAAAACAAACCAAATGGCCCTAAAAGGCTTCCGTAGAAGACGTGTACAGAGTTACCCAGAAATTTATTCATAGTTGATAAAGTATCTGTGGTTGTTTTGTTTGAATGCGAAAATGGCGAAAATAATGTGTTCGCAAATGGAAATATTTAATATAAAACCTCAACGCCGAGGCATGGCCAGTCTCAATTATCTGGCAAAACAGATTCCAAAGAGCGTCAAAAACAAAATCGCGTTGAAAATTATATGAATGGATCACTGAACATCAGTAATGACACGAGGTGTTCATGTAAATAATTTGCACATACAAAAATGTAACATAATTGTGTTCCAGATCCATGAGCGACATGGAAGCCAGTGCCTAGCGAAAGGATCCAGTTTAATAATCGGTTACTGTGGTGGCGGGGTAAGACATTTACTCGTCCTCATGGCAAAGTAAATATGATCATATATATCACATGTATCATCATATCACATTGTTATCATATATAATAAAATAATTTTCTAAAAGCACACACATGCCTCAAATGTCCTATCCTTTTCTTGAAAGAATTCAAGCCTATTAAGGAGGCACAATTTGATAATCGAGGGGCGGTGTGATGAGTGTTTGTTTGGGGCGTAGGCTCTCTGAATAATTAATAACTTTTACAATATATATAATTCAACTTTTGCTATTTACCCAAGTTATGGTAGAACATGTTGTTATTTTGATTCCGCAGTACAGATGTACTGGGGGGCACGGGGGGCACGGGTGGCCCAGTCGTCTAAGGCGCCGCGATTCACTGTGCAGAGTTGCGTTCCCATGATCTGAGGATACCTCACACCCAAGGACGCAACTCTGCTAAGCGAATTACGGCGTCAAGTCGACGTCTGCGCGTGCCCCTACCTACTAAAAACGGAACAGCTTGATAACATTCCAAATCTACTGCTGATTTTGTGCTTGTATCCAACAATTAATACAACTTCATATTATGTCCTCTTTTATCGGGGTAGCCTATTATTATTCATCAACGAATTACCGAATAAACGAATCACAGATATCGATAAACAACCCTTTGTTTGTATGCTTTTATTGCCGCACCCAACAATATTCCGGGGGCACGGGTGGCCCAGTCGTCTAAAGCGCCGCGATTCGCTGTGCAGAGTTGCGTCCCATGGGCACGCCAGAAACCTATGATTGTGGGTTCGAATCCCGGTTCGCCTCGATTATGTTTCTAGGTTTGTCAGCACCGTACCCGTGCTCGTGGGTTTCACCGAATTTGTAAACGTCTGAGACCTGCATCACTTGGGGCTTTCCTCCCACATTAAGCTGACACGCCGTGATATAACTGGAATAATGCTCAAAGCGGCGTTTAACACAACTCACTCACTCACTACATATTTCTTGAACGGGCTAGAAAACGTAACGGTGCTTGGTTCGCTAGATTGAGTTTATCCACTCGTAGACATGATGTCCAGTACTCCTCATACACATAATTACATTTACTGTTTTCTTGAGTAGATATTTGTGTGTGTCCATCTCTAATCCATAATCAAATACATAACCAAAACATCCGCCGACTCTAATAAAATGTGTCATGTTTCAGGTGTTCAGATACAATACTGCAGGACAGATATCCACGGGGGAATTCTGCCTGGTTTTCACAAAGCAAACAAAAGTATTAACGTTTCCCAAATGTCCTGATGGAAGCAGTCATCCTTGGGACTGGAATCAGGTAATGAAAGTTTTGGAACAGGAATGAATTTATCATCCAAATCACGCTTCGAAAGGAGATATCGCTTGGGTGATCAAGCGAGATCGCATCAATACAATTGCATCACAACGCTTTGAAACACCATTGTAACATCATTTGTAGCCATGACATCACATATGAATGACATCACTAATTTATAATCTCGCTGCCAATGAAGCGGGTTAGCTGTTTCCTATTACGCTAAAGACACTGGTTATTACTGAAAACTGAAAAAGATTGATTTTGGATGATAAGTAGAATCTCACCCTCGTGCTTTTTTATGTCAAATATATCAACACTCGTCGATAAAAGTTAAAAAATCCTCGGCAAGCATAAGAGTTTTAATCTTTTATCAACTCGTGTTTCTATATCTTATATCAAAAGCCATTCTGGTGAACTTCTCAATGTATGCTTTGTTTGTTTGTTTGTTTGTTTGTTGTTTAACGCCGCACTCAGCAATATACCATCTATATAACGTCGATCTGTAAATAATCGAGTCTGGACCAGACATTCAAGTGACTGATATCATGAGCATCGATCCCCGCAATTAGGATCGATGACATGCATCAACCAAGTCAGCGAGTCTGGTCCAGATTCATTTATTTACAGACCGCCGTCATATAGCTTGAGTGCGGCTTTCAACAAGAAAACAAACAAACATTTAGCTGTAACACCACCACTGTACCATGGCGTCCTGGCGACTACACACGGGAAGAGTGAGTGTGAGTGAGTGGGTTGAAGTACTTTGTTAAGATAAGATATATGGATAAACGGCTTCATTAGTACAATTAGGATCGACGTTTCGGTGTAGGTTCTTGCTTGATAACGGTGTAAGAACCAAAATGTTGTTCATCCATATATCTTATCCTCACTAGAAATACAATCGTTTTCCGATTTGCGAATCAATAAGTTTTCAATGCGCGGAAATGTTCCATTAGTAATTCCGGCTGACGGTTCCATATGAAATTTCCGGGCATCGGATACACAACACATGTTGCTACCATTATCCTTTATATCATTTCAGGAAACAGGCTTAATCCGTCACCCGGAGTTAAATCAGTGCCTCACCAGTGCACCCGCAGTATTTCTTTCAGACTGTGACAATAACAATCCCAAACAACAGTGGGATATGAAGGCGACGTGATTGGATGAACAATATGGCTCTTTCCACCAAGAACATCTCTGTGATATTGCATTGGGGGTGATGTCGTATTTGAGACCCCGCGAATATGTCCGCTATAGGGGCCTCAACAAGGCCTCAGCAATTCATGATTGACAACGAGGACACAATTTATGGATAACACACACTTCCGTTGTCAAGCAAAGACTGAAACGTCACTAAAATAGCATATTACAGAAGTTAATTCCATAAATTGTGTCTACGTTGTCACCAGTCAACTCGTAAGAAATGCCTATCAAAGAATTTCAATCAATTTTAATAGACCTTAACACTGAGATTGCCGCAACGCTTTGTAAAACGGGCCCCGAGGGATGATAATTTGTCCTCGTACCCAAAAGGCATGGAACGTTGCTCGTACTATCAACCACCGCCTTTCCTGACCCTTACTCGTTTGCTTGCGAACATCGTTACAGATCTAGAGATTGAATATTAATGACTGCGGCAAAGAAAATCATTATCGAAACAATCTTTATTTAAGCTGGGTTTTTTTTTCTTTTTAATTTCGATGACTCCAACACGATTAATGATCATTCTGATATTGACAAGAGGGAAGAAGATATACTGGAACGTTTGAGATGAAACTTGATTAGCAGGGAAATACACTGCCTCTTAAAAGAGAGTACACTCCCATGGTTTATGGTGGCTAACAACGCAAGAAATGCTTATTCGGTGGTGCTGTGTTTGATACGAGTATCATGATTGTGTTTGGGACGTGTATCATGATTGTGTTTGGGACGTGTATCATGATTGTGTTTGGGACGGGTATCATGATTGTGTTTGGGACGGGTATCATGATTGTGTTTGGGATGGGTATCATGATTACGTTTGCAGTACTAGTGTTTCGGCGCCTAGAGACGTTTTGATAACGTTTGTCTTTTTTCGGAAATAATATTGTGAAGTGGATTTGTAAATCTTGAAAAAGGATCTTTAAGTAACTCTAAATTTTTAAAGCTTTGAAATAACCTCTTTGCAAGTCGGAAGTAAAGACTGTAATGTTGATTAATAAAAACAAAACATATTGCTTCTTGACACACAATACAGATGTCTGGGACGATACTGAGTAGAGTCTTTGTAAAGACTGTGTACATTTTTAAAGTAAATGCATATGTATTCTTTAGTTCGTCATCTTTGTTCTTTGTTTCTTCTCCTATTGTATTCTCTCGTCACTTCAAAGACCCAGATTCCATTCCCCACATGGACTACGATGTGTGTCCCCCGCTGTTATTAGAAAGACACTTGGATGGGCATATTTATGCAAATTCTGTGAGTCACGGGTGTTACCGGTGGGGAGGGAGATGATTATCCTTTTCGCGAACACCTGTTCTCATCACTGATTTTCAGTGATCCATGCCTAAAATTTTCACCGTTATTTTGCCCTTTACGCCAAATGGAATCTGTTCGGCAGATAATCGAGAGGTGTCAGTTGACGTGTTGTGTGTGATACCCATGAAGACACAGCACATGCCACAGCCTGGGCAGGTCTGCCAATCTCCATGAAAATGTTACGTTGATTGAACGCTTATCTACCAAGGCAGCGTCATGCACTGAAAACCACCCAAAGCACGTTAAAGCATACTATGTATATCGTAGTTTGTTAAAGAAATTCTATTAAGACACATTAAATCATAAAAAGAATGACGAGTTGGGAAGGGTAATTATGTTTAACATAATTATGACAATTGGTTTCGGAAGTAGTTTATTTTCTGCTGCAAACGATAATTAGTTTAGGTATATGTCCGCATCATGAACACTGTTTCCAGAGAGAAAGACTACATGAGCAGATCAACTCGGTTCGAAGGACTAACGTTTGACAGTGATGCCTGACTGACTTGTCTTCATCCTCCCTAGTCCTTAGTGGATATCGGAAGTTTCCTGAAGGGTAATGTCCGTTCATCTGGCTCAGGTACAAACGGATTCCAGGTGCAAGCCAGCCAGGAGTTCACGTCGGCTGTGTATGTTGTTGTGTTAGAGGGTCCCCCTTCACTGAAGATGTTGATCTGTACCGTGATCTGAAAAATAAGTATTCTGTCTGACGTTTGTTTCGGTAAAACCTGACAGACCATTTGCTATTCTTTGGGTGAGTGGTTTGGGGTTTTGTATTTTATCGAAAATAATATGGATGTATTGTCACAGAAAATGTCTAAAAAATGATAGATATTTTCAATATACAAATAGTTTTTAATAAAGAAAGTATCTGGTTGAAATACAAAATGCCATTTGAGGGACCATTGACATAATTTTCACAGCTATTTTGCCTTTACGCCCAATGGTATTGTGAGTGAGTTTTGGATTTTACGCCCCTTTGAACACTCTTTCAGTTATATCACGGCGTGTCAGTTTAATGTGGAAGGACAGCCATCAGTTAGAATGGGTATGGTGCTGACAAACCTATAAACAGAATCGGGGCGAACCGGGATTCGAACCCACGATTATAGGTTTCTGGCGTTCCCAGAGGGACTCAACTATGCACATCTCTCAACGCGGCGAATTGCCACGCCTTTTATATATTTTTACACAACAAAATGGAATCACTCTGCAGTAGGTTTACATATGAACATAACTAAAATTGCCAAACATACATTACTATATAAAATGCCAACGACAGAGAACAACGAGTCTCGATTATCGGTCACGATGTTCGGCTGAAACAGATTCTAAAGGCAAAATAGCAGTGTCAGCAAAATGATATGAATGGATCACTGAAAATCAGTGATGAACTGCCATTAATCATAACTGAATTAACTAGTAAATTACATACTTGTACTTTATTTAAGATGTAGCTCTGGTCAATTCACTAACAATATATAGTCGAAACTGTAGTGTAGTTTCGGTTACAATCTTATGTACAATTTGACCATCTATTGAATATGTAATAACAAAATTAATCATACTGGGTATCTATTACTGTTTGGTGGCTTTTCATATGCGATATATTTTTTGAAACTTTTGCTGACACAATGTTTGTTTACATATAAATTTAAATATCACCGTGTCCTATAACATGCTATATAGACTGTATGACAAGAGAGGTGACTTTCACTTTCCAATAGTCAACTTTCCCTTCATGTCGAGCAATATTCCAGCAGCTCAAGCCTTAATCGTTTGGTTTGACAACTTTGAGATACAATCGAGCATGCTCTTTCTACCAAGATTTCAAAGAGCATCATGCGACTCTTGCTCAGAAATTGTTTGATCAAGGTTACAACATTCAAGGCCCCAGTAAAGCTTTCAAAAAGTTTTATGGTAGACACGTGGAGGTCATTCACAAATTTGACGCATCGGTGACAAAACACGCGGTGCAATTCCCTATTGTGACTTGTACCATGAGTTCCCGTGTTTTTTCCAGGTGAACAATTGACTTGCCTTTGCATGTGTTTGTGGCGAGTGCCACCGGTGGGCAGGATACGCTCACCTTTTCGCCAACACCTGGTACCATTACTATTTGATGGTGATTTATGAACACATGCTCATGATATAATTATGACGTTATGTCAACAAGACAACCATATTTTGCTTCGACGTCAACGTCAGACACGTCTAGCTTGGTGAAGATAACATCTGATCAATAGTGAAGACAGCATCTGATCATGAGGTTCAGAAGACAAGACCATTACTCCACTGAATTCACTAGCACGGGTATGGTACTGACAAACCTATAAACAGAATTACGGCGATCCGGGATTCGAACCCACTATCAGAGGTATCTGGCGTGTCCAAGGGGCGCAACTCTGCACAGCGAATGGCGAGAGCACTACGACATTTATCGTCGTGATCAATGGAGCGTACTTTAGTACAACAGAGTTGCAGCGTCAAACAGTTAAGACTACTACCCATCGTGTTTTGAAATCGCAGAGCAAATTCGGTTTTCGTCATATGTTGCAAATCATGTTTCCTACGAATGATTAACGCTATATATGACCTTACAAATGCAATATATACTATAACGTCGTTCTGGTATCAGACAATCTTTTGTTCACTTACAGTTTAATTAGTATGTCTTTTAAAAGTCTTATTGGAACAGCACATGTATGGGTGTACGATTGAAAGTTACTAAATATACTGAAAATTAAACGTAAAACAATATGTTAGACTGCATTTATCACTGTACCTTTTTCAATCAGCGTAAGTTTTGCAATTAAATTTACATCATAATTAGTAAATTCATCTCTCGCAGATCTAAATGTGAGAAAATTAACTTGTGGCGATTACGGTCAAATTCACAAAACCAAAATCAAATCCACTTAAAACATGAGACTTAAACCATGCCACGCCACTTCCCAATTGTGCCATGGTAAAATGGAGATAAACATGACATGTTTTCAGTGTAGAGAAAGTATAGCATGTCGAGCTGATAACATTCGAGTTTGAAACAGGCACATAACTGAACCTCTTCAATCGGTTCTTTCATCACGCATGCCATTGGGACATTGATGGACTTTTGCTCCCCAGAATCTTGGTTGTATTTGTTTGAAAGAAAGATCGAGAAGTGTTCCTATGCGCACACATCGTGCAAGACAGATGCTTTGACATGTCAAATGACATGAGTACGATGGAAAAGAAATTCAAATATTATTCATGTTTTAACGCAAATGTACTGTTAAATAATGATGGTGGCAAAATACGAACCCATTCTAGTTGCCATGCTGGCGATACACCGGAAGGTATGACCTTCAAAGTCATGTTCACCATCTCACCAATACATTCATCCCCAAACTGTAATAACAATAGAGAATGATAGTCAATCAAGAGGCACATGATACAAGAAGATTCAGCTTCTGTATTGCTGTACCCAGTGTTTCAAGGGTAGTTCTTGCCCCTTCATCAGCTGAATGATGAAGATGACGATAACGGAACAAGACGTTGCCTCAAAATGATATATCCGCGATGATGAAGGTAAAGGAAATTTGCAGATAACCAGATTATAAGAAAACGGGGTATATCATTTAGAAAATAAGAAGTTAAGAATCAATTAGAAATCTATAACTCATTAGCAAATAATTCATGAACTCATCAGTTCAAACTTCAGGAAGATTATCCCAGGTAAACCGTTCGATTCTTGAAGTTGGTGAGAACATAGGAGTGAGCGAGTTGTGGTAAACGCCGCTTTGAGCATTATTCCAGTTATATCACGGCGTGTCAGCTTAATGTGGGAGGAAAACCCGAAGTGATGCAGATCTCTGAAGTTTACCACTTCGGTGAAACCCACAAGCACGGGTATGGTGCTGACAAACCTCGAAACATAATCGGGGCGACCCGGGATTCGAACCCACAATCAGAGGTTTCTGGCGTGGGACGCAACTATGCACAGCGAGTCGCGGCGCCTTAGACGACTGGGCCCTAATATGACAAGCATTAGGTGAGGACCTTATTAAATTTTAGCATTAAACATCAGACAAATAGAACCAGTTCTGAAGGGCAAACACCAATTTTAGGAATGTTGTCATTTTCAGTACAATAGTGCATCAAAAACATCCCATATATCATGTGGATATCGAACTGTCGATAAAACAATGGCTTCCAAAAGGATTTTCAGGTGATCGAATACTTAACGAAAACCTCAATTATCAAAAACACATTATGATCGTCTCCCAATTATCCAAATCCTCTAGAAGTTCCCTTTAATGATACAACTTTTTATATCATGTGAATATCGAACTCCCGATATAACGACGTTGTCCTTGGTTCTCATCCTCTCCATCCGGAGTTACGGTGTCTGGAAATGTAATGAATATCTGGGAGGGTCATTTGATATGAAGTAAAAAAATACGTATTAATGATACCTGGAATATGTCTGTACAACCAGATTCAAAGTCATCACCGTCGACGTTTTCTAATTCATGTGTGAAGTTCCCTTGGCTCCCCAGGAGACTGAGCAGAACATTGGAGTTGGTACCAGCCCCTCTATCCGTTCCTGTTTTGACGGTTATGTTATAAAGGGCACATGGACTCTCTGCAATTGGAAAACGTGAGGGAATACTTCAAAATACCACACTTTGGCTATAACAGGACTGAACATCTCACACACACACAGACAGGCAGAGACACACAGACACACAGACACACACACACACACACAAATATTGATTTTAATAATGCTCACACACACACACACACACA